AAAGAAAAAAAAAAAAAAAAAAGAGGATTTAAATCCTAGCTGCTGAGAAAAGAAATAGAGCAGTTTAGGAGAAGTTGGTAGAATTTTGAGAAGAAAAAAATTTGCACATTGCGGAATGATTACGGAAGACATTGCGGTAAAGATGAATTGAGTGAATAATAATCGATGAAGACTTAATTATTGGAACTTAAAATGCTATAATTAAAATATGAATATAATGATGACATTTTCACTAACATATTTAACAATGTTAAAAGTGAAAAATATTCAAATAAATGCACATATATGTCATTTCTTCCATTTTTTTTTTCGACATAAAATGAAGTAAATATTTGTTTTTTTGAAATTAATTCCAAAATGATTAAAACGTTCAAAAATGTTCGATTTAATCATTTCTTGAATTATTCAACTTATTATATGGCAATAGAATAAGTTGATAAATTCAATCTGATAATCACAAATATCAATTATCAGTAAGCCATAATAATGTACTAACTACTAAATGATTACCAAATATTCATTAAACATATAAGATTTGATATTAAAATGAGGAAAGTTAAAAGTTAGTTAAACAAGACATGTATTGATGCTAATTAAAGACGAAAAACACGTGAAAGCTATGAAATAGTGCACGATATTTGAGAGTAAGTTTATGTGAGCTTTGAGCTTTTAGCTGAAGTAATAAATAAGCCAGGAAAAGATGGCTTAAAAGAGTAGGAAGAAAGAATTTAAAATGATTGTCAAAAGATGAAACAAAGAATGAATGTTGTATTTTAGTTGCAATTGATTGAATTAAACTTGAAATGAATTTTACACAAAAATTCATCTTCAATGGTAACTAACAGCAATATAATTCATTACAATGCGCTTTGCTTAATTTTTTCCCTTTTTTTTTTTTTTTTTTCAAATTTTAAGAGGCTTTTAAAAATGGTCTATGTGAGAAGTTTCATCCGGTTGAATAAAAATACATTGAGGAAAGATTTGTAGCCAATAAAAATGAATGCAGAACTTGATCCGATGGAGTAAACAGAAAGTGTTGGGTTATGGTGCTGGATCAGGAAATGAGTATAAAAATAAATCCGATCAATTTATTTAAAACAAAAAAAAAATGCAAGATTTTGTTCTGAAGTGAGAAAATTTTCCTTACACAATCTTTTTTTTTGTTAATTATTATTGAAGAATGAAAGGGAACGCATTTACTGTAGTAAAATAACTTGCCGGTAAATTACAGGATGTAAAGAATGCAAGCCGTAAATTATTGATTACGGCAATGTTCGGAAAATTCAAAGGTAATGAATGTTCGAAGAAATGCGTTATCTAACTTTGCATTTGTCTATCAATCAGTTTGTAATGTCAAATAGGATGGCGGCAATATGTGGTGAAATGAAGAAAGTGACCAAAATGATAAATTGGAAATGGTTTTCTTTTTTTCAGTTTAATAAAGAAATCATTTCATTCAGTAATTTATTTCCAATAATATTTTGAACTGAAAAAAAAAGAAAAAGAAAATAACAACAATTCTGAGAATGGAAAGGAAAAAAAAAACTTGAAAATACATTATATAGCACGAAAGAAAATAAGTTCTCCTCACTATCATCCAATTTCCAGATCGATTTCATTTTTACTACAATTTATGAAAATGTTTCCATTCTCATTCCCACTATCTTTTGGCTAAAATTTTTCCCAAAACTTACAGAAAGATTAATTTCAAAGTAAGTATGTAATCTTAATACTTTATCTTTTAGGAATTGGAATTGAAATTTTTGGAACAGAAAAGAAATGAAATAAAAACGAAAAGTATATTAGAATGAATGAATTGTTTGATGCAATCACGTGATGTCTGTTTGTTTCATTTAGCTAATTGCTAATCAACCAATGTTGATAAGAGCAAGAGTATCATCAATTATCGATAATTAATTTTCAAATTTATCCAATGGGATGGATGAAAAAGAGGAGTTGAGAAAGTTTCGTGCAATACTGTTTTCTGATGTGTATGAGGAGAGGAATGAAGGAACTCCCTGAAATACGATTTACTCTTCTTCAAGAAATGATTCATTTTTGAAGATTGTTGGTGATAGATAAATTTTAAACAAATCAAAAATTCTTAAAATATTGTTAGTAAATAGTAAAGCTTTTTTTCACTTTTTTTTTTCTTAAATTTAAGAAATTAACTGAGATTTTTGCTAATTTTTGATTTCAAATTAATGGGTCAAAGTTTTTCTTTTTTTTGTTTTGAATAAAATATCCTATTTTAATTAACATTCTACTATTAACCTTTTTTTTTCCATCTCTTTCGTATTCTCATTTTTTTCCCCCATAAATTACAAAGGAATATTTTTGTCTTTACTTTAGATGCATTAGTTAAACGTCGATCAGTTTGTTTTTTTTTCAATCTAGAAAATATTAGTATCAAGCTAATGTTAGCAAGAATTTAGCCATTTAACTAATTAATAATGCTTATTCAGGTTGATAATTAATTAATATATTGACAATATACTAAGTATATTGATCTATAAAAATCAAAAGAATGTCAAATGATGAATAAAAGACGATTTGATTGGATTAAAAAAAAGTTTCGAATTCAAATTTACATTTTTCAAAGTTTCAACAATCAAACATCTCTCTCTCTCTCTCTCTCTCTCTCTCTCTCTCTCTTC